GGTACAAACCTCTTCCGCATGATAGTTTTCAATTCCTCCCTTGTATTGATAGGTCGCTTCCCACTTCTCTGCCTCAAAGTCACCACCTGATCCCACCAAGTGACTACATAATCCGGGAATTCAAGAACTGCAATTTTCACCTTCTTCTCCCCCGAGTAATTGTGGCAATCGAAGATTAACTCAATTTTCTTTTCCCAGTCCAAGTAGGCCTCCGAATCACTCCTACCTTTGAAGGAAGGAATGGTCATTTTAATGTTACTCAAGTTTCCATCCACCTCATCTCCACCGAGATTCCTACCTCTCCTTTCTGGTCTAACTCCACTATTTCTACCCCTTCCAATATCCATATCCACTGTCGCATCCTCATCCAATCCACTATCAACCTCAAATTCACTAAGTTTCTCCATCCTAGGTTCCCACCTACCCTATCTCCGTGCATTAAGACCACCTCATCGGGTATTGGCATGCAATGGATTTTGCCTTTCTCCCCGTACATCCTGTCTATCCATCCGATCTCTCATATCTACACATAACCACTCAGTCCTCCGCACCGAGTCCTCTAGCATGGAAACTCGATCGTCCACCCTTCTTGAATTTGATCCTTCCCTGTCAGACATCCTAAATCTAAATTATTTTCTGCCTCACAAGTTTTCACTCAGAATTTTACTCAATATGGCCTTTTCCCTCTATTGCTCTCACCACTCTGTCTTTTTCCACTCGTTGCTTTCACCAAGTCTCCAAAAGAACAATTTCGGAACTCAATAAAAAAAATTAATCACGTGGAATTCAAAATGGTGTGAGTGAGACTACAAAACCAAGAAATTTAGTTCTGACTGGCAATTCGGACTAAACAATTAAAGACTGACTCAAAAGCACGAAATAAGAAAAGAATTACTGACTGACTTTTAAATTAGACACAAAATAATAAATGAAACTAAAGAGAGTCGGTAAATTTCCCCCAAGATCAATAACAATGATAATAATAATAATTTTTTTTTACTGCGTATGAATGAACAATAAACTTTTTTTTTTAAGTTTAAATTTTTTTTACTGCTTATGGATGAACAGTACCTTACAGATGAACAATAAACTTTAATTAAAAATTTTTTTACTTTTGGAATTGAAAAATCAAAAGCAAGACTGATGCAACAAACGGAAGTTGATTTGGATCCAAAGTGAATCAAAAAACAACTTTTGAATTTTTTTTGGATTAAAGACTCAAAAAATAACAACTGACTCGAAGAACACGAAGAACAATAAGAAAAATGAATAACTAACTCAACACGAATTAAAAGGGATATAACATTGGATTGAAGCCAAGCTCTGATATCAACTGATGTGAACCCGCGTAGGCAAGCACTACGGAACCCACGAACAAGATTTCAATCTTGTTCGTGGGTTTTCAATCTTGTTCGTGGGTTCCATAGTGTTTGCTTACGTGGGTTCACATCACGTTCCTTATAAGAATATGAAACACATGCATGAATAGGCTACATCTACATGTAACTTTGACGCGACGTGACACGTTTATTGAATTATGCATTTTGCATTTGTATCTTAGTTTTCAATAAGATTATAGCCAATGTTTTTGAGTTGTGCTTGGTGTACAGAATTTTTATAGGGGTGTGTTATTTTCTCATTGGTAGTTGACCAAAAAAAAAAGAAAAAGAAAGAAAAAAAATGCAACCTTAAGTCCCCATACACTTTTGACCTTTCATGGTCCATGAGGCAGCCCATGCACTCTCATGAATTCTTAGATGTCAAAAATCGAGAGGTGTGACAAAGTTTTGAGTGTCAACCTGACTTTTGAGTTCTTCGAATAGAAACTTTTGAACTCTGAAATCCAAATATAAAAACAGCGTGGATATAATCATAAAAATATATTATTATCGAGAAGTAACGAGATTAACTTATCACCAATAACTTGCTGCATAACAGGAGCACTTATTTTGCTCTCACGCAAAGCAAAGTTGGTGAGATTCTCCCAAATTACGCCCTTATCATGGTTCATGTTATATTTGTGAGGCGGACTTACCCTCAATGCTCTCAACTCATGCGCGACTTAAAGTGTCGTGTAGAGTACTCACCTGAATATAAAACGAAAAAAATTACAGACGTAAATAATAATTTATTTTTTCATTTTCTTATTTTAGACGGTCAGCTATGAAGATTAAATGGATGTTGATTTTGATGACATGTACATTTATAGTTTGTTTGGTATGTTACAAATGAGGAAAAGAGACGTGACATGCTTTATATATATTGTATTGTCGACTTATATCATATTTAGGAAGTGACCTTAACGTTTAGAAAGTCTCAATGTGGGTCGCCTTAGGCTATGCCTGGCCAGCAGGGCGGCTTGTTTCTTAAAAATTATATGTATTTAAGTCCCTATTTGGTTTTCATTATTTTCTCATTAAAATGAAAAATATGATCGTTATCTATCATATCAAGACATCAAATTTAAATTTATATATCTTGTGTAGGGCTCGTAATGACTATATTTTTCATTCTCATTCTTTCAAAAATGAGAAACAAACGAGGGCTGAATTGATCTCTTGAAAAATAGAACAAAAGGTACTTAAAGAAAGCGTGTCAAACCACAACATGTCCCTTGTTATATTGCTCGGAAATCAAATAAACTCGCATTTACTCAATTATGCTCATAATTAAGTATGCACGTTATGTTTATACATGATCATAAAATACTTTTTCCATATTAAAGTAGGAGACTTCATTTGAATGCTAAACCAAGTTTGCTTTATTAATGCAATTACGCTTCTTCAATGCTAATACGATGATTCAAAGTATTAATTATTTTTTCAAAAGCAGTAAATTGCTAAAGCCAAGTACATTTTCATTGCAACATAATCAACGTACAATATGTAAAGAACCAAGTACTACATATTAAAGCTGTATCATGCGTGCACACAGCATACCTGCTAAGAAATCTTAATCCTTGAACTGCAAATATTTTGGATATTTCGTGGAAGGTACTAAAGAGTCTACATCTACCGTCGAATTAAAACCACCTTCACCGTCTATTTGAAGGATGGCATTATGGCCCTGTTTGAATCTCATTTTTACCTCATTAAAATAAAAAATATGATCGTTATCCATCACATCAAGTCACAATTTTTGAATTTCTATATCTTGTGTAGGGTCCATAACGACTCTATTTTTCATTCTCATTCTACAAATAATGTAGCTCAAACGAGCTTTATAAATAGGATGAGAATTGCTCCCGGTCAAGCTTAACTACAAAAAGATTCCATAAATGCTTGAAGTAAATAAGTTCATTAAATCCCTATCTCATTCAGCTAAAAAGCTGATTAAATTCTAGGTCAAAGTCAATAATTAATTTAATCACATATATCATGGGATCCAAACTTTTTAATTATATATTTCATTAACTTTTATCAATATTTATGAGAAATCTCAAATAGGGTAAAATATAAAAAGGATAATTAAATTTTCATTATATAGATTAATAGACAATATTTAGCTTGTTTTTGAGCCACATTCTTTTTAAAGAATTCATTTTGGAATAGTAAATTAATGGAGAACGTGTGGTTAAAAAAAATATTTTTGATTTGCATGTAATATTATTTTAATTAAGAAAATGTGGTTAAAAAGAAATGTATTTTGGGAAAAATGAGAATTAAACACTCCATCAGTATGTACAACAGGCACAAAGGCAAATACCAAGATGCTAGGACACATCCACGAATCAAATAGTTGTCAACATGAGTATATAGTTATAATCGAGTTGCATTCATGCACTTCACAATCTTTGTCTCTTAAAATGTAGTGTTTTGTACAATTTTTTTCAAATCTTGACAATCATATTGATTATAATTTATCAAATATTTAATTAAGAAAAATTCTTGGCGCATATGAAATATATACATAGAGGTGGGGCCCACATCGCACGTTGTCCCATCCCATGTGAGGAGTGTGGATACCCCTATGTTAATATTTTATGTACACGAAGCTCAACTTTTTAGCTAAACTATCATTGAGCTTCTTAACATGAACTTTCATTCTAGAAGACCTAATACCTTAAATGGCAAATTGACTGGATGAAAGCTGAAAGTTTGAGTGCTTAAAATAAACCAAACTATCAATTATATAAAATATGAATTTCAATATAACAAACTAAAAAGACATTGATATTATGACACGTTAAAGTTGATATAAATATGATTGTACACATATATGAAAAGTATTATATTTTCTTGCTTAATTTGTCGAGTCTTGACCATTTCAGACACAAATATTATTAAAATTTTAATACTAATTCAAGTAATTAATTTACATCTTAGCTTAATGGTCTATCCAACAAATATTTTTTTTTTTTAAATAATTTAAACTATAGAAATGGTTGACCTATGAAAACCAAAACCCATAATTTAAAATTTAACTAAAGAAATTATTGACTTTGTGAAAACACACCCGTTTAAATGAAATCTTTATTCCGGATTAATCTCAAATGAGCCATTTTAAGTTGGAACCAAAGAGTTAATATATTCAAACATAAAAATATAAAATTATCTAATTAACACAAATGCTCATTTTATATTAATGCCCCGTTTGATTTTGATAAAAAAAAAAAATCAAATTTTTAGTATATTTTAATAAAAGCCGATAGAATATATAGTTAAAAAAATTTGAATTTCATAAAACCTATGGTTAAAGATAATAGATGACTTTGATTTAGAATTTAATCAAATTTTGTAGTTGAATCAAATAGGGCTATAAATAAAATAATATTATCTAATATCATTGATGTTGAATACCAGTCTAACCAATAGCATATTATATATTTAATTAAATGGATCATAATTTTTTTTATTTAATTGAACTTATAATTTAATATTACTAGTATTATCATCTAAATTGATGTTAAATTAAATACGATAATGCTAAATAATATTATTCATATTAATATATTGATGGATGATAATAAATTTAATTTAAATTGTTAGATCCATGTCAAGCTAGAATGAGTGCTCATTGATGAACAGAATAATCCTTTCTATAATCTCCTCTCTCTCCTTTCTCTCACATAAATATCTATCTTCTTTTTGCTGTTTCTGCCATGGCTGCATTCAGGAGAGGCAATTAATGCGAAGAGTACAAAGAGTGATATTGACACGTTGATTAAATCAAGAAATCATGCCAAAGATTAAAGGAAAAGCATTATGCATTTCTCTTGCTAATGAATCCAAAAAAGAGGTGTTGCCCATCCCTCAAATCTCTCATCTAGATTCCCTCTGGTTTTGCCATCTAATCTTCAATTATGGCTTCTTTTATCAATTTTTTATCCGCATCAGCTGCCGCCTCTCTCAATCTCTCATTCTTCAGCTCTCTCTCTTCGCCGATTTCTATTGATATAAAATATGTAGCAATTGGTGGATCTTGCTTCAATTTGCATATGTTCTTCTCTGATCACATAATAGGGTTTCTGGGATTTAATTCCCAAGCATTTCCATTTTGGGAATTTTCATCAAATTTCAAAAGTAAAAACTAAGATCTTTTCGGCTTTTGTTTCACATTGTTGTACACTTGTATACCCTTAGGAAAAATTTTCAGCTGGTTTGAGTTCTGACGTGATTAGAAGTATTAAATGGGTTTCAGATTTGGATTTGAAACTGTTTTTTCTGTTCGAATTTGAATTTTGTATATTGGGTGTAATGAGTTTCTTCTATTAAAATTATCTCTGTGATTTCAAACTTTTTTGCTGAAATTTGGAGGAACTGGGTATTTGTATCTGCAGGAGAGCATTTGCAGATTCTTCTAGCAGTCTTCTGCATTGAGGTAGCAACGATAAGCTATTTGATGATAACTAAAATAGAAGTAATTGCTTCTTATATTTCTAATTCGTGCTATTATTATATGGATTATTGAAAAGGCCTCCTATTTTATGGGAATTTCCATATATTTAAGGCCAAAATGTTACTGGACAGAATATTGTTATTGTTTTAGGTGTTTTCATCTTGGCATGTCTGATGTAAGAATTGCAAAATTTCTTGATTTGTTATTATGATTATTATTTTTTGAATATGTGCTTCATTTTCAATTATTTGCTGCTCAGATCCTGCCTGCATTTTTGGGAAAATTTCCATTGATATCGGTTTTTCATATTGATTTTCTGTGGTAATACAATAATGTTACCATTTTTTCCAAAGATGGCATGCGTGAAATGTTTAGGATGAAATTCTGCACTCCGGTAATCAGTATAATTGAATTTGTTAATAAAAGAGAAAATAAAGGAAAACTGCTGTATGCTAATTGTTTGTTAAATTGTTATGCTTGTGGTACGAGAAGTGTTTAGCTCAGTACTTCTGCAAAATTATTGGTTGGTTTCTTGTAATTTGGTCAGTCGAGGAATACAAAAAAGTACGCGTGTGCTTTTCTTGTTAGTCAAATTGTTATTCTTCCCAGACACTGATTGTCAAGCTAATTAAGAGTCACAAATGTTGGTTGTTTCTTTATGTCGTTGGTTGCCCAAATCTTTATTAAATTTTCTGCAATCCAATTGTTGCGAAATTTTGTATAGACGTGGGCTGAGTCTTTGGTACTTAAGGCATCAAATTTGGAATGTACTGGTCATTATAACTCAAGCCTTTCTGTTGTTGTTGGTAGTTCCTTAATCCCACTACTTATTTAACGAGTTTGATTCGTTTGTGGGCTCATGCTACTTGGCTGAAATTTATTTCCTTTGTTTAGGCTAGACGACATAATAGATGAATGCATAACTAAGAATTGTCATGTCCTTTTTATAATTTTTGTAACTGCTCGGATGCTCTACACCTAGGATTTTCTCCACATTGCTCCTTAAGATTGACTTTCTTAACTTTGTCAGTTTTTCCCCAATGCCTTATAAGCAAATTCAACTCTTTCTCAAGAAATGAGATCACCCTTTTGAATTGCATTGCGCTTTTGTTCCCTTATTATAAATTGTTTAGTTTCCTACATGCAATTCTAATTATTTTTTTGGATTATCAATGATTTAGGAGATGAGTATCACAAGTGAAACCGAGGAAAGAATGATATCCAAGAATGGTGCAGGTTCATCGTCTGTTGAGGAAGCTAGTAGTGGAGGAAATTCAGGAGAGCATGGTCCATTAAAGAAAGGTCCCTGGACTTCTGCAGAAGATGCAATTTTAGTTCAATATGTTACTAGGCATGGAGAAGGGAACTGGAATGCAGTCCAGAAGCACTCGGGCCTTGCTCGCTGTGGGAAAAGCTGTCGTTTGAGGTGGGCAAACCACCTGAGACCAGATTTGAAGAAAGGTGCATTCACTCCCGAGGAGGAGCGACACATCATTGAACTTCATGCTAAAATGGGAAACAAATGGGCTCGAATGGCGGCTGAGGTGTGTCCTAATCTCAGTTCAGCTTCTCTTTTAGTTTCATTGATAATCTATCCTCTGTGACATTTAAGTGCACGTTTTTTCTTAAGTTTAGTGTTATATGTTTCAGAAGACAGAAGTCGTATCTGGTTTAATTCATCATTTTAATGATATTTGGATATTGAAAATAGTGTAAGGAACACTGCCAGTCACCTAACTTATAAAGAAGTTTCATGTTGATCATCAATGAAATCTGCTTTTTAGTTTTTATTTCATTTTGGTGAATCATATATAATCTGTTAGTTTTTCCTAAAATGTTCGATGTGGAAGACCTCCACATCTGATTTCTAGAACTTCATTTTGCATCTTTAAATTACTTCAATATCTTATAGCCTTGCCAAGCATAACGAGACTAGTTAGTAACAATCAAGCTTGACATTTATAATCAAACAATATCGTCCTAAAAGGCGTGTAGTTTGATCGATATAATTTCTTTTGATATTAAAAAAATGTTTATCGTCATTAAAATGTTTCGATATTTGTCGGTGATATGCTTACTCTCCTCTCTGGAAAGTTTGAATCGAAATGTGTGATTCGAAGTCCTACCTGTTATGCTTGCACCAACAGCACTTATAAATAAATGTAGGGCATGCTCTCGTGTTTTTCTCTTGAAAATATTAATTTCTGACACATCTTAGAAATATTCTATAGTAATACGGATTTCCAAAACAGATGGAGCGTTTTGTTTTTGCTATTCTGGCTGTGTTTACTTGTTCTCGTTCATTTCCCTTGTATTTTTCCCGTAGTTGCCTGGCCGTACAGATAATGAGATAAAAAACTACTGGAACACTAGAATCAAAAGAAGACAACGTGCTGGACTACCAATCTACCCTCCAGAATTATGTAAACAAGCATTGAATGAGAACCAAAGAAATGAGGACTTCCGTACTTTCTCATCTGGGAATGCTCAACAGCACGACTTATCACCAATTAATAACTTTGAAATCCCGGCTGTGGAATTCAAAAGTTTGGAACTTAATCAACTGTTATATACACCGACGCTTCTTGATATTTCTCCGACTAGCTTGCTTGATAGCCACACAGATAGCCTGCAAGTGCAAGGTCTCAACCCTTCTTACACTGGCAAGTCTGTGCTCTCGACATTCTACCCATCGAAGTGTTTTCAAGAATCCGAATTTTCGCAGCCCAGTTTAAATGCTTCTGTTTGTGATGTTGTCCCAGTAGGCATTCAATACCCAAACGATGGTTCGATGCAGATTGCTCAATCTTCTGCACTCCCGTCTCTGTATAATCGTAACTCAAATTCCAATAGTCCACCATCCTTCAGTTCAATTCACGGCTGCCATTCCGTTTTAAATGGCAACTCTAGCTCAGAGCCTGCTTGGGTGATGAAGCTAGAGCTCCCTTCACTCCAAACTCGAACAGGTAGTTGGGGATCACCTTCTTCTCCACTTCCTTCCCTTGAATGTGTTGATACTTTGATACGGACCCCTCCGACTGAAAACACTCAGTCGCGTAGCCTTTCCCCTCTAAACAGTGGCTTGTTGGATGCTGTGCTGTACGAATCACAAAATATGAACTTCTGCCAGAAAATTTCTCAAGCATCGGTTATGCCCATTGACGTAATGGATACTTCGTCTCATGATCTTCATAAGACAAAATGGGAAACATATGGTCATGCGTCTATGTCCTTTAGTGAATACACCATCAGCGGCAGAAACCCATTGGATGAATCCCAATCAGTTGAAACCATGCCAGGTCTGAATTATTTATTTTCTACAAAAACCGTCCGGATTAGTTTTTGCTATGCTAATTGTATTCTCTTGTCTTTTAAGGATGCAACATCAAAGAAGAACCAATCGAGCCTGTCCCAATGCAATACGATGACATCTCCGAGACAGCAAAGCTGTCGATCTTCTCCAGACCTGATTTCTTGCTTGCTTCAAACTGCTTTATTCCTAATGACGACCTGAGTAGGGAACATTCCCTTCTGGAAGATGCATTCAGGCCATTCCTTGGTGAGGATTTGAGCCGGGACTGCAAACAAATGGACAGTGGTGCTACTTCGGCTCAAGGGTGTGGACACAGTTCTTGTGCATGGAATACTACGTCTGCTGTCTAGTCAATTGCTTACAGTCTTGTATATCTAACGTTTCAAATAGCATTTTCAACAGTTAATTATGAATATATCCGGGAATATCACATTGGCTTCAAAAACCGGGAACAGTTCTATGATGTTTGTGAGTCTTCGACGACTTAGAGATGGGCACTAACATGTGCATGAATGATTTCCGGTCTTTAACTCGGGTTTTCAGTTTTCATGATATTACACGTGCACAAATCACCTTACCTTCTGCCTAGTACAATACTGGATGTTATAGAATAAGCCTAAATTTTTACTTTCAAAAGTATAATTAGAAACAAGCCAAGTACTCAAAGGTTGACCATGTAATCAAAATAATAAGTGTAAAGCACAATTATGTTTTACTCATCCAAATTGAGACGACTTGAAGGGTCCGTATGATTGTAAAAATGGAATTTGGGTGGAAAAAAAACGAATTTCAGGAAATTAAATTGTTTTACTGGGAATTGTCAATAAGACCCCATTTGACCCTCATTAATTTCCATTACAATCCATTTTATTTTTTTCTCACATATTTTCAACAATACAATTTTTCATAAAATAATATTACACGTAAATCGAAAAATTTTTCCTTTTTTTAACCACTCATTTTTCAAAAAATAAAAATAAAAATACTATTCCATCCATTTTCATTTCTACAAAATGGGGTCCAAACGAGGGCTTAATAATGTTCTATTGGTATAATTTTTTACCTGAAAAATATTGAAAGTAAAGTGTTTTTTGGTGTTCATTTGACTTTGTTTTTCATGAAAATTGTCAATTTAAGGAATATCATCTTTTATAATTGTTTCTAGAACTTGTTTCCATTGCAAAAAAATAAATAATTAAAAATAATAAAAAACATCTATCTTTTGATATTCGTTTGACTTTGTTTTACATTTCCAAAGATAGAAAAAGATGTGCATTTAATGATAAGATTTGACAAAAAAAATTATGCTGAGCTCCATGTGAATAAACTAAATCTTGTAGGGCCTGTTTGATAGGCTTCTCTTTCCATGGAAAATAGTATGTTTGATAGGCAAATTTTTTCATGGAATTGGTTTTTCAAATAACCCCCACGTGACTGCATTTTCTTGATTTTTAAGGAATTGATTTTCTTTTGATTTTGGTGGAAATTGGATTTTCCAACCTTTTTTTATTTATTTTTTTTGCAATGAAAACAAATTCCATCCTTTCAATTGACAATTTTCATAAAAACAAAGCTAAATGTACATCAAAAGATCCAAAATTTCAATATTTTTCAGGTGAAAAATTATACCAGTCAAACATATTTAATTGACAATTCTCAGTAAAACAAGTTCTAAGCAATTCAATTTTCTGAAAGTCATTTTCTTTCCACCCAAATTTCATTATTACAATCAAATGGACCCGTAGTCATACTAAACTCGATCATTACACACTTGAAAAATTAGTTTCATCACAAATTTATCTTGAATTCTATATTAAAAGATCAACCTTATTAATGATAATGTTATTTATCAACAATGCTGATTATCAATTTCTAATATGGAAGAGGTTATCATCACATTTACTAAAGAATTAAAATGCTTTCCAAAACATAGATTATCATTAGCGAGTCTGCTTACAATTGACATTACTTTGTTATGAGGAATATTTCAGACAATTATAGGTTAATTAGTGGACTTTAGCCTTAAAGTGGGCCTTCAAATCCTTTGCTTATTTCAGTTTGTGGAAATTACAAGAGACCCGACTTTTAAAGATTTCAGTGAAAATATCAAGTGGGATGATTTTTTATGCACATTTCAAGTACTATATAAGTTATATTTTATCACAATCCAATTTGAAACCCTAAAATTCAAATTCAATTCTCTATCTTCTCTCTACAACTCTTTCTCTCTCTTCTCTTCTCTACCTTTTCTCTCCGAACGTCGGTGACTGTTCAAATTTCGTCGACTGACGATGAAGGAGTTGCGCCAACGACCCAATCTCTTCTCTCTCTTCTCCATACTCTGTCATCGTTCCCATCTATCTATCCTTACTCTTCGCTTTAACCCAAGGTCAATTTCCTTCGTTAATAATTAGGGTTTCCCTTTCTATCACTTTATATGTATTCAATTTCAATGAGCAAGCGAAAACTATGGCAGTTTCATATTTGATTTGTTGGTAGATCTTGCAGTGGCTGTTGTTGAAGATGGTGGTCATGCGGATGGCGGTTGATTTTTGGGGCGACACGATCTGGTGGTTGATTTTTGGAATTTTTTGGTTTTTGATTCGATAGTTGTGCAGTGGTCCTGCGGCGGTGGGGTTTGCGGCACAATTGTGTGGGTGTGATGTGAATTCTTTGTTTGACTGTTTGTGGAAGCTGATTGTGTTGGTGCGATGTGGGTGGTGGTGTTATTACGATTCGTGGTGTTTGCTAGCGATGGTGGTGCGTTGTGGATGTGGTGTGGTGTGGTGTGGTGTGCGATGGCGATGGCGGTGGTGGTTGTGGTGGTGCAAGTTGGTGGTTTGGGTTGATTGTTTTTTTTTTTTTTTTTTTTTTGGCAATAGTCTGTGATCTTAAAATTTGATGACCTATGACTAAAAAATAATTTGTGACCTCAGCGATTTGTTTTGTTATCTTCAAAATTTGATAATTTGTGACTAAAAAATGATATGTGACCTATAAAGTTTTCGACTTGTGACCTTGAAATAATTTGTGACCTACAAAATTTTTGATTTGTGATCTCAAAATAATTTGTAACCAATTAAATTGATGATATGCGATCAGTAAAATAAATTTTTGATCTATAATTATGAATATGTGACTATTAATTGTTTAACTGTGACTTTATTATATATATATTCAATAAATATTTTTATTTAATTAAATACATACCTAAATTTTGGATTTTATTTACCTGATTTTTGAAATGGTGTAAAGAATACATTTGAAATATGATTTTTCCCTTTTCAGTTTTGTACATGTGTTGGTAAGCAATTTTTTTTTTTTTTAATAAAACTATCAAAATTTATTTATGTAAGATCCACAATTTATTTATTTAAACTCCAATATTTATAAACATTTTTGCCTCTATCTGGGTAGAATTTTTTCTCCAAGTATCGATTGTTCCATCAGATCAAGCCCTGGTTTGATGGAAATTTCAATTTAGATTTATCGAAATCAAAATCAACGATTAACTTTAATACATATTTTATGAGATTCACAACTTTTCAATTACACACTTCATCAAGTTTTGTTTAAATCTATTAAAAATATAATTGTAATGGGCTAAATGAAATATAAAAACGCCTTTTTCTTCCAGTCAAATCAATCTTACCCCAACAATTTACTTGTAGAACTCATTTTCAGATAAAACTTATCCATATCTGCTACAGTGATATCAATCTAAAAACAGGTGTATATTAACTACAGATCACGTTTATTCTTTTCTTCTCCTAAAAATTAACAAAAAGCAAAAAGAGTATAAAAGTCGAGCAAGGTGAATGTATGTAGCCTGCTTTGGACATCACATTTTTAGAACAATCTACCTAATTTGTATAAGACGAGAAATACTTCAATGGAATAGTCTTAGATGTTCATGTCGTATGACTATTTAATATTCAACATTCATGATTAAAATAAACGATCATATTACATTTATTTAATGAGACCTCATTGAAAATTTGCATAATTACACTAATTATAGCTAAAGTTATTTCCTAACTGTGGTCCCTAACTATGACCATAAGAATAACTACATCGACCATCGAGTAAATAATCAAAACTTCAGTTGCCTTTAGCGCAGTTAACTCTATTTCAGGGTGATTGATGTTGACCTTGCGAATTGGACCTCTACGTGGCCAATCGAGAGCCACTCCACGTGTTCCTCCCTACGTACAACAACACGTGGTCAGGAGCACACGGCCGGAACCAACGCGAAGGGTGACGGCCGCATACACTCCAATGGTCAAGTCAGTGGTCGACGATCGGAACAGTGCTGGAATTGTGCAAGAGAGTGGGGAGAAGAATATATAATACTTGAATGTGGAGAGCTAAGTTTAGTATGAGTTTCATTATTTTTGCCTCTTGCCAAACCTTGAGTATTTATAGACGAGAAACACCGTTGGATGTAGGACACGTGTATGCATCTGACGGCTTGAGACGTCTGCTCGTGGGCGTTAATCAACCGCGTCTAGAGTGGATGTGTTATTAATTCTCCTGAGTTGAGTTAACATAAAGTTGATGTCACATCACCTAGGCCCATGGAGATGTCACATCCGTAGGATCCTGACATAGATATGCTTCTGAAACTAACGGCGGAGGTATCTGCTAAGAGAGCACCTCGGATAGCCAAGCGCTTTTGTCGTTCAGTAGATTTAGTTTGTGAAGTGTGTACCTTGTGGTGCGTCAAGTTGGAGTTCGGCCGAAGTCGACACCACTTCGTAGGGATACGTGGCACCTCGTAGAGGAGAGGGACAGGATTTTCGAAGTGGTTTGGTGCGGGGCATAATAGTGGTCCTCCCAAGTTCAGGAATGAATATTCATATCATTGGTGGACTTTTTTATCTGATTATGTTGACCTTAAGAGGAGATTCGTAGTATCTGGTGAAGTGTTAACGTTAAAGCACGAAGCGAGTCGATGTGTCGAAGGCTTCATAGCTAGAAGGTATTGTTAAACCGAGGCGATGTTGGTAGGGGTCGTCTTGGTCAGTACTTCGTTAATTCGTGAAGGGTAGTTAGCTTCCGCTCGAGGCGTATGAGTCATTATGCTGAAAGCAGGAGGAGCTCATTTGCAGCCGCTGCATTGATCAGCAGGGGACGACGCGTCGGGAGATGGCCAGAGCTTTGTAAGTTTGGAAAGGCTGTGTCCGAGGCGAAGACCCAGAGGGGACTTGGCATTAGGTGCGTTGAAGCTTTGGAAAGCTGAGGAAGAAGCATATCTGCTATTGGAGCATTGACCCACAGGGGACGACACGTTGGGAGATAGCTTAGGCTTTGTAAAGCTTAGAAACGCTTCATCCGACGTAAAGACCTACAGGGAACTTGGCATCAGGTGCGTTGAAACTTTGTAAAGTTGAGGAAGAAACATATCTGCTTCCAGAGCGTTGACCCATAGGGAATGACACGTTGGGAGATAGCTTAGGCTTTGTAAAGCTTAAAAACGCTTCGTTCGAGGTAAAGACCCATAGGGGACTTGGCATTAGGTGCGTTGAAG